TTTTTAAAAATTAAAAAAAAAATGAATAAAAACATTACCAGCTGGTAAAACACACCCACTAACAGCCTGAATGAATTCACAAGCTAAATTCACCAGCTGGTGACACTAATTTTTTTAATTTAAAAAAAAATTGAAGTTAATTTGTAAACATTAATATTATATATTAAATAGTTATTAAATTAATTACTTTTTTGAAATTTTTAAAAATCAGAAAATAATTTTTTTAAATAAATTAAATTTCATTTTTTTAGATTTGAAAAAAAAACATCACCAGATAGGGAATGCAGCTGGAAATTCAGCTGGTTAATTCAGCTTGGTGACAATTATTATTTTAAATTTTTCATATTTCAAAATATTTAAATTTAATTTATTAATATTAATTTTATTTATAGAATATTTATAAAATTATTTCCATTTTTTCAAATTATTAAAAATTAAAATTTAATTATTGTAAATTAATTAAATTGATAAATGAAATTTCAATTTTTAAAAATTAAAAAAAAAACATCACCAGCTGGTGAATTCACCTGCTGGTGACAATTTTTTTTTACAAATTTACAATATTTAAATTTAAATTATTAATATCAATTTAATTTATAAAATATTTATAAAATTAATTCACTTTTTTTCGAATTTTTTAAAAATTTAAATTTAATTATTTAAAATTAATTTTATTTATAGATATAATTAAAATTTAAAAAAAAAAACATCTCCCGCTGGTGAAAAGCAGAGTTGCACGAGCATTAAGAGCGAAATAAATGAAACCTTCTAGCGTCTACGCAAAGTTAAAATATCATCAAAACGTAAAATGCATTACTCAACCAAAAAACATCCGCAAAAAAGAACAATAAAACACTTCTTGAGGCAGCACAAAAGCACAGTAACACGAGCATTAACAGCGAAATAAATGAAGCCAAGCAGCTGTACGAAAAGAAACACACCCACTAACAGCCATATTGAACCATAAACGGGGATACGAACGGAAATAATTGCGAATAATCTACTATTTAACACAAAAAACGCACCGGTGCACAAATGAAACACATTTTGAGGAAGCACAAAGCACACAAACACTGTAACTTCAACATAAAAGTGAAAGGAAGCGGACAATCAGCTGTGAGAAAAACGCCCACTCACAGTCATATGATCGGTATATTGCGTCAGTGGCGTCAGTGTGAGGTTGGCCCTCGTCGTGGCCGGAGGTGTCGGTGTGGTCGTGTGTTAGTGTCCAGAGTCTTCGGATTGGATGCTGTCCAGGGCTTGCCAACATGCAGTGTCCAGGTGAGTGGGTCGCTTCTGGGGGTGGAGGGGGGCATCTGAGGGTCCTGAGGTAGGGTAACCGCTTGCGGATAGTAAATCCGGCTCCAATGATGGACTGAGGGGTGCACCGCAAAGCCCCTTGGCACACAATGACCCTGGTCTCCTGCTACGGCTCGGCGGGTGGTGGATTTCAGGGGGGGTGGAGGGATTGTGGTGGAGGGTGGAGGGTATGCATGTGTGTGAGTGTGTATGTGAGTGTGGATTTTGGAGGTGTAGGGTTTTTTTGGTGGGGTGGTTACTAATAATTTATTTTTACAGATTTTTCAGGATTTCCAGGATGCGCTGTATTGTATATTTAACCATTAACCATGTACTTTTCCCAGTGTGTATTTTCAGGATATCATCGTGGTTGGGGCCCCAAGAAGAAAGAAGATTGAAGAGAGAAGAGCGAAGAGAGAAGATTGAAGAGATCTCTTATTTATATGTATTTGTAAAAAAATCAAATGTATATGTATTTTTGATAATTTGATGACGATGTATTTGTAATCCATGCACTAATTAGGTATTATCACGTTACGAGGTAATTGGGTCGCGGCATCGGGGTTGGATGTCTCAAGGGTACCGTACACCCTGTCAGGTTTCCGGAAGTTGGTAGGGACGCGATTTTCCCGGTCTCTCAGAGTCGGATATCGCGGTGGCCCACAGCCCGGGTTCGAGTCCCGCGCCCCAGCAGGTCACGCTCAGGGTTCATCTCTGGGTCATCGTAAGCCCCCCACCGTTCACTGTTCCCCTAAAATCGGTTGTGCCAGTGTTTATTATGTTTCTTGTTATTTAATGATGATGTATTTGTAATCCATGCACTAATTAGGTATTTTCAGAATATGAGGTAATTGGGTCGCGGCATCGGGGTTGCATGTCTCAAGGGTACCGTACGCCCTGAAAGGTCTCTGGAAGTTGGTAGGGACCCGATTTCGGTCTCGCATATGTAGTAAACACTACTACAGAATTCGGTTATCGTGGTGGCCCACGGCTCGGGTTCGAGCCCCGCGCCCCAGCAGGTGACGCTCAGGGCCTCACCTCTGGGTCATCGTAAACCCCCCCACCGTTCACCGTTCCCCGTTTAATTCGGTTGTGCCAGTGTTAGTGTGTGCGTTTTTTTACGTTTTTTCAGTTTTTTTTTACGAAGAAAGAAGAAAAAAGAAGAAGACAGCTGCTTAAAAGGTATTGTGTTGAGAATTTGTAAGAAATTGTGTTTCAATTTTTGGTTTTTCTATTGTATTTGGGTGGAGGTGTAGTTGTTGTAGGTAGAAATAAAAACTAAAAACAGTTCTTCTGGCCAAAGAACACAAAAAATTTTTCCCTGGTCAGGTCGCGGGCCTTGTCGAGGCGCCAGGGCTCAGTAGCTAGCTGCGTTGGCGGCTAGCGAAGCTAACACGTGACATTTTGAATTCAAACTAATTTCCATTTTTATAAATTTAAAATTCCATTAATCCATATTTGTTTGCTATTGTTAAATTTATTTGCATTTTCCCAGAATTAATTTTTAAAATATTTTATAAACAAAATTAATAATAATAAACTACATTTAAATTTATAAATTTAAATAAAATAATTGTCACCAGATGTATTAACCAGCACAATTCACCAGCTGAATTCACCAGCGGGTTTTTTTTTTATTTTTTTAAATTTTTAAAAATTGAAATTTAATTTAAAATGAAACTAATTTTGATTAATTAAACGTTCATTTATAAAAAATTTGAAAAAATAGGAATAAATTGTTTAAATATTTTATAAATAAAATCAATATAAATAAAAAAAAATTCAATTGTAAAATTGTAAAACATTATTGTCACCAGCTGGTGAATTCAGCTGGTGAATTCACCAGCTCAACTCACCAGCTGGTGATGTTTTTTTTTATCTTTTAAAATATTTAAAAAAAATCGAAATTTCATTCATAAATAAAATTAAATTCAACAAATTAAATTACATTTAAAAAAATTTGAATTAAAAGGAATTAGTTTAATTATTATTTTATAAACAAAACTAATATTAATAAATTATATTTAAACTTTTTCAAATTTTTAAAATTTAAAAAGAATTATTGTCACAAGCTGGTGAATTCACCAGCTTAATTAACCTGCTGGTGATATTTTTTATTTTTAGAAATTGAAATTTAATTGATTAAAAAAAATTTAATTTTAATTTTTAAAAATTTGAAAAAAAGTAATAAATTTAATAAATATTTAATAAATAAAATTAATGCTCATGAATTAACTTTAATTTTTTTTACATTTGACAAGATTAAAAAAAAAATATCACCAACTTGTGAATTCAGTTGGTGAATTCAGCCTGTGAATTGAGATATTAATTTTTTCAAATTTAAAAATAATTCAAATTAATTCATTCATATTAATTTTGTTTATAAAATTATTATAAAATTAATCCCTTTTGTTTCAAATAATTAAAAATTAAAATTTTATTAATATAAATTAATTTTATTTATAAATCAAATTTCAATTTTGAAAATTTTAAAAAATAAAAAAAAAACATCACCACCTTGTGATTACAGATGGGGACAATTATTTTTTTAAAATTTGAAAATTTAAAGAAATTGAAATATAATTTATTTAGATTAAATTTATTTATAAAATTAAAAAAAAATTAATTCCTTTTTTTCTAATTTTTTAAAAATGAAAGTTTATTTAATTTAAATTAATTTTATTTATTAATTATATTTCAATGTTTAAAAATTTTAAAAAATAAAAAAAACATCACATGCTGGTGAATTGAGCTGGTGGATTGAGCTGGTGAATTCACCAGCTGGTGAATATTTTTTTTTTAAATATTGAATTCATAAATATTAATATTGATTATAAAATATTAGTAAAACTAATCCAGTTTTTTCAAATTTTTAAAAATGAAATTAAAATTGTTTTATTTATAAGTTAAATTTCAATTTTTTAAAAATTAAAATATAAATAAAACATCACTAGCTGGTGAATTAAGCAGGAGAATTTAGCCGGTGAATTCAGCTGGTGACAATTATTTTTTTAAATTTTTCAAAATTGAAAATATTTAAATTTAATTTATGAATATTAATTTTATTTATGGAATATTTATAAAATTATTTCCTTTTTTCTAATTATTAAAAATTAAAATTTAATTGATTAATGAAATTTCAATTTTTCAAAATATAAAAAAAAAACATCACCAGCTGGTGAATTCACCAGCTGGTGACCATTTTTTTTTTAAATTTACAATTTTCAGAAAATTTAAATTTAAATTATTAATATTAATTTTCTTTATAAAATATTTATAAAATTAATTCCTTTTTTCCAAATTTTTTAAAAATTTAAATTTAATTATTTAAAATTAATTTTATTTATAGATTTAATTTCAATTTAAAAAAAAAACATCACCAGCTGGTGAAAAGCACAGGTGCACGTGCATTAAGAGCGAAATAAATGAAGCCAAGAAGCTGCACAAAAATTGTATAAATAGAAAGAAATTATATAATTTTTATTATTTCTCTATATCAAGGGTAAATTTTTATCTTTCAAAATACAAGTTTTATATTTAAATCTTCTATTTCCAATATTTTTATTTACCAATGAAAAGAAAATTTAATAACAAATACAGAAAAAAAATTCTTAACAACCTCAATATAAACAAATATGTTTCGACTGCATTATTTATTTAATTTGAGATATATTTTTTTAATAATGTCCGTTCTTTCTCAGGGAAAAAACTCACTAGTGATAATTTGATGAAAATATAGCAACTGAACGCGTCGACATTGAACGCCAGAGGCTTTTTGTGGGAAGGAAAAACGACGTGTTGTGCTGTATTAAAAAAGCCCCTCCGAGGCTTATCCTGTTTTGCTGAGTGCCAATTTGCATACATCGGGAGGAGAACGGGAAAAATATGCAAGCAACTTTTCCATTTGCAATATTGGCTTTATTAGGCCGGAGAAGAAAAGCAGCCGGTGCTACTATGATCAATAAAATTCTATCGCGCAAAAACGCTTTCATACACAACGTGCTAGGCTTTCTTCCCACGACGGAATGAATATTTTATGCGTATTATTTATTATTAACAAACGATATCGCCGAGTCACGCTGATGGCTCTGTGTGCACGTATTATAGTGTTATAGACACACTTCCAAACTTGATGCAAACTCATTTCGCTGTAATATATCATTTCACATTACACCATCATGAAAAACTCCGAGTGTAGGCCAAAACTGAGCCAGGCCCAGTTTGCGGGGTCGATTACTTTAATCAGCACAATTATTATTTACATTTTGAAACATAACACCATTGTGGACCAATGTAAGGAAATTTCCATTTAATGAAGAAATGGAAAAATTTCATGTAAAAACTTTAAATAGATTTGAATTTAAAATGAATTTTATTTTAATAAGTAATTAAGCTTCATCCCGCGCTCCTTTTAATTATTGACAAACTCATAAAATTAAATTTTATGACTTTTTCTTAAGTGATCTATAAAAATTATGTACAAATTTTTATCATTTTTCAATTAAATTGCATAAATATGAATATAATGATTTCTTGCAATATTACTGTTAATAAGTTCAATTAATTAATTAAAAAAAAAAGTTTAATTCTGATCAAAAAAATTAATTCTTAATTACTATGAGTTTTAAAACCTTTTTATAAAACAAAATTAAATCGCACGTATGTTATCTGATGTTATGTTCCAAATTCATTAGTTATGTTATTAATTTAAAAAAAATCATTAGCATTAATTAAATTGTTGTAATTATTTCAGTGATCTTAATTTTCAATCAAATAATTTTTAATTAGGGAAACAAAAGGCAGCTGAATAGAGAGTTTAACAGCCTCAAAATTGTTTTACTATTTAAACTATCTCAGAAATCGATTAAGAATTTCAAAATGCTTATTAGCAAATCTTATTTTAACTGTGAAGTTTTTAAATTAAGAAACTTCTGAATTGAGAACTTAAATTAGATGGGAAAACCAGAAATTACTTTAATGTTAATAGTAAATTAACCATGAAACCTAAATAGAAAAGTTGACTGCAAATTTGTAATTATTGGAAGCATGGAAGGAAAAAAATTAAATTAAATGGCAGTCAATAAAGGGATTGCAGGGTCATTGATTGTGACAAATTGAATTCACTAGTCGTTCAAATTGAAATTGATTGGTAAGTCTCACCAACTCAAATCCACTTCCCGCACGACGCATATCCACAGGCGAAGATGGATTTTGTTACTTTGCATATTGCCAGGCAGCGCGCACAATGGGAATTAACTGGCTGCCTGCTTGATTCCTCTGACTTGACGTTTCGGCAAAACAATGCCTGCGAGATGAGCGAGGGCTGAAAGGAGAGAGATGAAAGTGGGCCTTTAATTTGATAACAAAGAAGGAATGCGCCCCGGCGCGCGCGAGATAAACCCCGCGCCTTGTCATAAGAAGCTCGCTCAATTTATAACGGCGAAAAAAATACAAATTGGCCAAGGAGGAAATTAAAAAGTTGCGACGAAGGAAAGAAATTTCAAAATCGCTCTTCGGCGTTCTAAAATAAATCTCATCTTTTTTGCTCTGACCGAATAAACACTTGAGAATTTTGTCTCGTTTGTCGTCGCATGTGCTTCTCTTTCGATACGGACTGCTTAAATTTAACAGCGTAAATCCTGTCTAGTTTTTTCCGTCTAATCTCATTATGTAGTACTTGTTTGCTCCCTGCCTGTGTGACTCACAGCCGAGCCACTCAAACACATCATCAAAAGTGCTCCCCATCAATGGCCGCGCAATCGATTGATGGAAAATTTTTTTTGCTCCTCTTTGAACTTTATACAAGTGCCCTGGTGTAATATAAATATAAGTGCTTTTGTGGCGTTTTGTTCAGTGAATAGGTTTTTTTTTATCTGAAAATGAAATTAAATTTCCACTAGATGGAAAAAATATGCATTAAAAGGAAGAGTAATGAAGCAATTTTTTTTAATAATTGAATACAGAAAAAAAATTATGTAAAATCAACACAATTAGCTTTCACATTTGATTTAAAATCGTGACCTTTCCTTTTTCGATTGATTTTTTTCTACAAAAAAATGGTTAAAATTTGAGCCTTCCATGAAAATATAACGAAAAACCTGTCTGATTACTCTGGAAAAAGTAATTTACCAGGTTTCGCTTACTGAAAGTTTTATTATTGTTATTTCATTTTAAACAAAATTTATTCCAGATTATTCTAATTTATTATTATGAAATGTTTCATAAAAATTATTTAATTTTGAATGACACACGAGTCGGAAAGACTGCACCAAAAAAAATTAATTAACAAATCCACTTGTGAAGTCTGAAAGCAGCAGCCGCAGTTGAGCGCAAAACAAAAAAGTAATTTGTCCTCGTTATTTCCAACCCCGAGCCAATCTGAATAACAAAGCAACAGTCGTCATTTCTTTTTCTTCTCATTCACTTTTTTGTCGCCGCGCGGTCCTCATTCCCAGAATCAAAAGGGAAGCAATTCCAGTTAAAAGCTAATTAATAACCGCCGAGCTAAATTGGCCAGAAAGCCGAGGACGACGTCCCTTGCTAGCGAGAGTCAGAAGGAATTTGACGCGCACTTGTGCACTTGGTGAATGAGTGGAGACGCGTGATTTATCGCCGCAATTTTTTACCGTGAGTGACGATTGCTTAATGGCCTCGGCTCTTTTTTTAAAAATACATTTGACAGGACAGGAGGAAAGAGAGCCGGCGACACACTTGGAGAGAGCGGCTAAATAGTTTTGCCGATGAGGCGAATCGACAAGCGTTCGGGGCGACTTGCCAGTTTGGCCTGAATTTTTTTTCTGTGTGCTTCGTTGGTGAAAAGCTGAGAGGTATATCGAGCTGACAGTCCGCACGCAACCATTTACCACGAGAGCCGCAACGACGATACATATTATTTATTATTTCTCCTCGTAAACAGTCGTTCTGGAAAGGACTGAAGACAAATTGCTGATTTACGCAGCTGTCCGCAACCCGCACAACAAAAACGCAGAAATTTTTTTATTCTTAAATATACCAAGGATGGTTGCAGTCACGCACGCACTCTTATTTGTTGCGCTTAAATTTGCGCCAAAAAATTTTTTCATTATAAACAATTTAATTTAATATATTTCTGTATTTCGTATGATTGTGAATCTATTTCATTTGCAAGATTTTTCTTCTATTCTTATGTATTCAGAAATTTCCTTATAGGAAAAAATTTACCATCCCGCTTACTAATTTTTACGTTCAAGAAAACGTAAAAATAATAATAATGGCTAAATTAAAATATTTAAAAATAATTCTGATATATTTCTGATTTATAATTTATCACAATTTTAATCCCTAAATTTATCTGCAAACGGCTTTTTATGTTTTCATGTTAATCTGACGCAGCCAGAAAAGGTGTGGTGTCTGACTCGAGACGCAATTGCACCATTACGGCATCAATAAATTGACGGATTTTATGAGATAATGTAATGTTAAAGGTGAAGACAACTGGTTTTCGCTCTCAAAGTTACCTTGAGCGCGGATAAATGTTCTCAGTGTGACCAGAGCCGCTTTGCAATGCAGACAAGAGTCGTTTTTATCCTCCTCTTTGCAATCATCGCCTTTTTTGCTGATAGTAAGTTTAATTTTTTTATCATAAAAATTAATCTTGTTTAATTTATATAAGGCTAATGTAATTGGTTGAAATGATATTTATTACTCAATGAGAATTTTACATACACGTTATTGCTAATGTAACGGAATTATTTAAATTAATAATTAAACGGGTTGGAAATTTAAAAAATCTTAAAATTTAATCTATGGTTCAGATATAGTTAAAATTTTAATCCTTCACTGCTTGAAGATATCATAACTATTTTATAATTATTTATAGCCGTATTGTGTCAGCGGAATAACAAAAAACCTACTGGTGGCAACCGTCCCCATCCAGTGTACGCAGCTGATGCTCCATCACGTGCGCCTGTAGCTAATTGCAGACCTGGATTTGCGTGGTACCATGGAAGATGCCGGTCTACATACGGATAAAATCATAAAATCCATGAAATCTGCTTAAATTAATTAAACTGAAACTTCTATTTTTTTTTTCTGTAAGTTGAACATTTAAATTTTGCTTTTTGTTCATTTTGAAACATTAACACATTTCTAGATGGAATAAATACCAATAAAAATATTGCAAATAAATGCCTATGTCTGTCTCATCATTTATTTTTAATACAATTCTAAATGCAAAATTAAGTGCTTAAATATTCCCAGCTACACATTATGGAGTTATTTAAAAATAGAATTTAAGATGTGTAAATGAAAATGTTTAATGAAATTCTTTTCTAATTTAATAGATCATTAACGCAAAAAAAATTGGAATTTTGGGAGGAAAATTTTGAGAACTTAGCAGTTAAATTAAGATTTTTTTTTTAATTCTGGAAAATTTATTTCCTAAAAAACGCTGCATTGAAACAAAATGCGTTTACATATGTACTTAAACGTTACTCCGTCTCCAATATGAAAGCAGCTGCTCAAGACTCTTCAGCTCAAGATTCAATTAATTAAAGGGATTATATTAATATAATTTTTCCACCTCACCAATCAAAAGGACAAAACCCAAAGCTTTTAATAACCTTTAGAAAATTTGAGATAACTTAATTGCTCCTAAAATTTCATTTTCAAGATGTTTTTAAGAGTTGTAATTGAGGGCATTTGATTTTGTTGTGAACAAAAACTGACGCCTGGCGCATCTGTACACAATGAAACGATAAAAATTCACCTCATAAACGACCTGTATGTTTTCATTAAACGCGGCGGCGGCGCATCCTGGGTCGTTCTTTTCAGTGCAGGGTTACGCCGTGATAGTATGTATGATGATAATAGTGGGCCCAGAGAAGTTTATGCTGTTATTTTTATTGGCTATTAAACGGGTAGTAAATATCTCTCTCTCGGCCTTTCCTCTGCGCCTAGCTCTCTCACACAGTATTATTTTTATATAGAATGTATTAGAGGCCGCTCTAAAAGTCTCTGCTCTCTCGCTAACACCAGATTTATAGCTATGTAAAAAAGCAGCAAGCGAGGCGAAAAACAGAGCGAGAGTTTAAAATTAATGCTTCGGAGTTGGTGAGGTCGAAATTGTTTGAATCTTTATAAACGCACGTTTAGATTAACCGCTCTCATTTGTTGGTTTTATAATTGTTTGATTCGATTAGAAACGATTAGGGGGATTAGTTTTACTTGTATACAGTCGATTCAGATTAGAAGGTGATTTATACTGGGTCGTACGAGGAAATAATAACAAGCTTCTTCAAAAAATAAAAGAAAAAGAGCGGGCCCTGATTAAATTGGGAAAATGCTTTAATTGACATTAGATACTTTTGCCCTGAAGTGGAGATCGAAAATTGATTGCCTATAATTTTCACTTATTTTGTTAAGATTTCAATAATATGGTACTTACTGGAATTTTACTTCACTTTTCTGTACTAAGAAATAATCATATTTAATTATTAATGAAACTTAATTGATTTAAAACAATAATTAATTAATAGAATACACAATTATCGTTAAAATTAACTATTTTGCATACAAAATTTAAAAGACGACAAAGCAAAGCTTAAAATTTTTGAGCCTATCCAAAACCACTTTTTTTAGAATTCGAGAGATTTGTTTAAATTTTTTATTTTTTATTATTTTTTTTTTAATTTTAAATATTTCAAAAAAAAATTGCAGAATTTATTAAATAAAAAAAAGCTGATACCAAAGTTAAAACTAATTTTTAATGAAATTGCAGAAGACTCATTAACAAGAAAAAATCTACTAAATGTTTGTCGAGTTTAAAATGCAAATTGGAACCACCCAAGTGATGGCATTAATTTTGCACGCCGACAATTGTCGAGTTTCCTGTCGATGTTCTTTTTTCTCTCCCCGAAGCGCACGAATACGTAATTTGGAGGATGGAGGAGCGCGCCCGTCTTTTCTCTGCGCTGCCGGGCCAACAATAAATTTTATTAGGCGGATATTTATGAGAAGCTAATTAAAAATTTCCTCCATAATTAATTGGACCTCCGCGGCTCTTCTCTTTCTTGTGCGCCGCCCGCGCCCTCGGGCCACGCAGAGGAAGCGTAATCGGCTCGCTTGTCGGTGTCAAAAGCGAAGTCTCGTTTTCCTCTAACGCCGCGTGCACCGGAGAAGCAGGCGAATAATTTCACGCCAACTTTTGGCCCCGAATCTATTATTTCCCCACGAGCGGCGGCTCGTTATGAAATTTAAAATAAAAAAAAGAGTGAGAAAAGAAAAACCGCGCGCGGGCCCTAAAGGAAGGGCATGCAATCGTTGTAATACTGTTGGATGCCGTGCTTATAGTACTCGCAGCTTACTTTTTATAGTTTTTATGGATGGGAAGTGGAAATTTCGGCTGCCTTGCCAGTCGTAAAAGTCAAAGTGGATTTTTACAAAGTTTCGAGGTGCGTTGTAAAAGTATCAATTAAGGATTTCCTTTCCAAAACCGTCTACCGCAGCAAAAGAGCTTCTAAAATATAAAAAATGAGTATGAATTACGGAACAATACCGAAATATTCATGAAATCTGTAAAATCTTGCAAAATAAATTATGTGCAAGATAATTTATTTTTTAAATCAAACTCAAAAGAAGGAAAAATTACAACAATAACAGTTGAAACTGATTTAATTTATAAACACATTCTGGTTATTATTATTGATTTGTTGAAGTTTAAGAAATCACAGTACCAAGTGATACTATGTTTAAGGTTTCATGGTATCAACTGATACGATGTTTTGGGAATCAACTGAAACATTTTCAAAATCTTTAGCGTGAGCGCATTGATGCCCATGAGCGCGAGTGCGAGTGCCAAATTGTTGAGCACATCCCTATATTAAACTTATTAATATAGCTCCGTATAAAAGCAGGAGATTAGAAAATTTACTCTATCTCCAATTATTTGGATCTATTAATATCAAATTGTGTGGGATTGCCATCACTTTTCTTTAACTTGGCCAATTACATTTGACATGAAATATTCATTAAGGATCAAATAATTTGATGCGAGAGAATTATTCAAGCGGTCTTCTTTTAATTATCGTGTTCTCTCTTTTCTTCCACTTTTCTCCTTTGGCGTGTATGTGTGTAAAGGCACGAGAGACGGCGTCGTCGAGAATTAGCACAGTGGGCTTGTTTGAGACAAGAGTGTCTCATTAATTCGACGAAATAATAAGAGCAGATCAAAGGTTTGCGCGCACACACACCATCCTTCACGAATGCACAAAGTTTGTGTGTTCAGCATCAGAGAAAAATGAAAGAGAGAGAGAAAGAGAGCGAGCGCACGCACAAGCAACTGCTGCTTCAAAGCGAAAAACTCCTTGTTGGTCTCGGTACAAAGTGAAGCGCAAATCTTGAGTACATCTTGCTTGGGACTTGCCCCTTTGGGCTGCTTTGATCCCATCGACTGTGCAAACAAGTATAGTAGAGAGCAAATAGAAAGGTAAAAAAATTATACAGAAAATTAAAAAGTTTTTGTTTAATTTCACAGAAGTCAAATTTAAATATTAATCACAAATCGAAACCATGCTTAACCTAGACGAAAAACTTTAAAAGCATCTGCAATATTAAATTATTTAAAAAAATTCTCGTCCATTAATTTGAATTTCTCATTAATTCCCGCCATGTGTATTATTATATTTTATAAATGTAAGAAATACAGGTTATTAAGTGGAAAAAAAACAGTTTGCTTCTCACATGTCTTTTCATAAGTTTTTCCAACCTTGCTGTCAAAATTTATAAATACTTTTGCAAAATTTTGGAATTGAACAAGTATTAACACTGATTTTTGCAAGGTGATTTCAACAAAATAAAAACAAAACTTTGATAAGTATTTTTGTTAATTAAAAGTCAATAAAACTAATATTATGATGCAAGAAAATAGTTTTTTATAATTCTAAATTTAATAAAACTTGACGGTTTAAGGTCAAATGTTGTGACCGTGACTTCACAAGTGGAAATTTCTAAAAATAAACGCCACTTTTCATCTCCTCTCCATCTTTTTTGCTTTTTTCCTGCCGCGATCGGAATGCGCGTGTGATTCAATGGATGTTTTCATACCGCGTCTGTGTAATCTGAATGGCCGCTGCTCTCACGACGAGAAAGAAAGAGCGGTAGTTAAATTACCATAAATTAAAACACCCGTGGAGCATGCATAATTTTCAATTTAGGAAATCCTCTTATTCAGAAATTCCGATGGAGCGCCGAGCTATTTATCATTATTTCATCGTCATCAGGCAACCCCATCATCAAACTATAACTAAACATGAACGCCGGCAGCCAACCTAATGTACCAGGATTGTTTACAGTGAAAGGGAAAGTTGGAAATCACCGACTTGAAACAAATTCGGGCTCTTCACTAAACCGATTTGCCTGCATCAAAAATTATCATCAATTTTTGACATTATTGGGAATAATTAAGTTTTCTGTATACTGATGTTGATATTTTTCTCTGATTATAATAAAGTTGTCAAAATTTAAAAATTCAATTAATATTTTACTGAAATTTGTTTACAAAGCCATACAAAAATTGAATTTAAATTCTAATAAAATTAATTATATTACAACTTATGACAATATTGTTTTTTAAAGGAGGCAAGACTTATAATTTTATTGTGATTGGGAAATATTTTTTTCTAAATAAAATTCATTGGCTCCTCAAGTTTCTAACATGAAATTTAATTGAACAAATTGAAAAACTATTATCAAACTGTTGACAGTATAAGTTCAAAAATCTGCTTTTTTTAATTTAAATTCTGCGAAGAAAAAAAAATCGTTTAAATTACTTCCAAACAGCCCTGAATCCTAAAAATAAAAAATAAAAAAAATGTTAGGAATTACAAAAATAAAGTCACAAAAGAGAGCCAAAATCTTTTTTACTGAAAAATTAATTTTATCGCAAAGATAATTATTGTAAATTATAAGGAGCGAATTAAAAAATTAAAAATAATAAAAGACTTGTTCACCAGTCTTATGAATTTTTAGTAAATTTGATTTTATGAATATTATTAAATAAAATTAAAACCCTTGGAAAAATTGTATTTTTGCTTTCCTGTGGGAAAGGAAAATTGAATAGCCCTTGAGCTTGAGAGATCCATTCATATTCATATATAAAACACCAGCACTTTTGTCGTGCCGCGCCGTCTGCATAA